CTGCATTAGTCGACTGAATACCCTAGGAGAACGTAACAGAGTAACGCTTAAATGGGTTCCAGGTCACGCGGGAATCGTGGCAATGAAAATGCCGACGAACTAAGCGACGAGCGGAGGGAACACAATATGGTCCAGAACCCTTTTGTGGCATTCCCAAAAGTCTTGCTTGAATGACCCTGGAGAACATCTAATCCTTTAAGGCATGGTCAGACACGCCAGGATTAACTCAGTCCAAAGCTCTCATGACCGAAAATGCTCTAAGCAGATCATAGGACAGAGTAGGATCAAAATGCGCATCTTAGTTCGAGCCCTCACTGGACACTGCAGCTTAACAAGCACTTGTCCTATGGGACTGTTCGAATCAAGAACGCGCAGGATGTGCCAAGAGGCAGATGAAACGCCACCACACATTCATACGGCTGCGGACCTTTGATGCGCAAGCGGAGCTTACATCTGGGCAAACACATATTATCCTAAGCCCACAAGATGCAAAACATATCGCCCCCCAAAAGATACTGCAATTTCTAATGGATGCAGGACTCAGAGACGAACTGTAAGGAAAATGGCGGCGATCACAATAGATCGGTACCGGTCGTAGTGATACTAGGACTTTATTGAACTAGAATAGCCGCTCAACTCAATAAAAAAATAGTTCTTCTGCGTTCGAAACACAAATTAGTACAGTATAGGAGAGGAATAAAGTGCAAATAGTTGGTACAGTATCAGTATCGGCGCGCCGACAGCTGGTCGTCGGCGGCGGCGGCGTGAAAAAATTCGCGGCGGCGGCGGCGCGCCGGCGTGGCGCCCACCTCTATCGCGGACACACAACACACGCTGCAATACGTTTGGGCACATTGGGCGGCTGGGACGTGTTGTTGTTACGCTGCCGCGCCGCTCCCGGTCGATACGGGGCGAGGAGAGCGGGCGGCAGGGATTGCCGGCTCTCGGCACGTGTCAGCGGTCGTTGGCCTCAGTCGGCTTCTTTGCTAAACTATACTATACATACACCGAAAGAGTGTAAATGATGTGGGGTGATTTTTTTTAAGCGTTCTTTGGCGTTTTACTCAAAAAGTATCAGAAAAAATCACGCAACCTTCACTCGTATTGACTGCTTATAGAGATCGACGAAATACATAAAATCGAATATTATTCTAAAAAGATAAAACAAAAATCTTTCTTTCCTCAGGTGACCCCCGAAGCGCCAGTATCAGTGGACGCCCTAGGAGAACTGGTCAAAACCAACCCATCTTGTTGGCGAACCTTCTGCGCCTTGGTCTACATCAGGACCGTCCGGATGATCCGGGATCCCTACAAGCTGTATGTCATGATCTTCATGCCTATAAGTAAGTTTAATGTTTTGTTGAATAACACCATGTTGGGCGCCAATATTTTGTTTACGTCCAAAACTAACTTAAATTATATTGTTGGCACTGTCTACTAAGCACCCTTATATGCCAATGCTATTTACATGATTTGGGACCCCTTATTCTGTATGCTTTAAATAGGTAAAAGATATTTCAATGACACCACGTTGGGCGCCAACAATTTTTAAACCATCATAGAAAAGTAAATTGACTTTAAAGGAGGAAAAAATACACTAGAAAAAAAATACACTATTGATATTCTGTTGGCTGGCTATAATAAATTTATTGTATTTATTGGTCAGTTGATTTTTAAAAGAGTGGTCATTCATTATATAAATAACCTAGGTACTCGTCTTTGTCGTAATCATTGTTTTGAAAGATTAAAAAAAGTATGTCCATTGAATTGTGATGTCATCATGCATGTAAATTCTTCTCATTCCAGTATCCTGCGCTCTCGGTCTCTACATGAAGTCAAGACAGATTGTATTTTTTCGGATGCAGCCGCTCAAATTGGACCCCAATGCATATTTCAATAAGACCCCAATTGCAATATTCAGTGAAACGAACGACTTCAAAGAGGTATCAGACTTGAGGGATTCCCTCGAAATGCTTGGAGCTCATCCGATCATAGACTTTGACGGAAACTTCTCGAGTCTTCTGGATATGGAGAACTTTGGAGCATTCAATCTAAAAGGAAGCTTGGTGCCAGGTTTTGGGAAAGCAATGGCCTACTACAATAGCACGTATACGCACAGTCTGCCTATCATTATCAATTTGTTGGACAATAGTATTTATAGGTAAGCGATTCTGATACATAACTCCGTAAAACTAGATTGGTACTTTGTGGTTGTATTGTGCCTATTGTGTCCCAATGAGGGCTATCGTTTTTATACTTAACAGTTGGCACC